AGGGTCAGAGGGAGAAGCAGGCTCCCCGCTGAGCCGGGAGCCCGATGTGGGACTCGATCCCAGGACTCCGGGATCATGACCTGAGCCGAAGGCAGTCGCTTAACCAACTGAGCCACCCAGGCGCCCGGTCATTTCCCATTCTTAAAACGTAAACCTTCCTATCCAGTTTTATCTCCTTTGAACAAATTCTCAATTTCACTTTCTAAATATTGATTCCAAACTGCTGGTTATTAGAATTGTCTGGTAGCTTTAAAAGAAAAATCCAAAACCCTAGACTTTTTCTTCTGAATCAAGCTTTCTGATGACCAGCGAACTTAGGAATAAAGCTAAACCACAGATAAAACAATGAAGTCTAAAGTTGACATAATTTATTTAAAGGAAAAATATGTGGAACTGTATGTGTTTGACTTTCTTTTAAAACGTATATTTAAATAAACAAAATATGTACCAGCCTGTGTATTTTAATTTTTTAATTAGTGTTTCTTAGTCATAATACAACATGTATTATATTTGCTAAAAGATGCAAGTAATTTTCAAATGAATTTTAAGAAACCCAGGTATCACAGTAGCTTTTTAACATGATGAATGAAAAAGCCACCTGTGTACTCCATTTGTTCTGTTAACTATATCTAAAAGACACATCCTAGAAAACCACAGTTAAGAACGGTCAGGTGTGCCAAGTAGTATAACCCAATTTGATAATACCGGGTTTTTATTTTGTTTGGGGTTTTTTGCTCTGTATGTTAACTACAGTATAATAAAGATTTTTAACAATATAACACAGGTGGATAAATGGGTAAAATTAGTGTCATTGAAGCTTCAACAATTGGTGCCTTCTAATTTCTAATGTAAATCTCCCTCATTCTATATAAAACAGCTTACATTTATTTAGTGCTTACTAAGTGCCATGTGGCATTCTAAACATCTCATTTATCTCATCCATGAGACTCATCTCATTAGTCCTTATAATAACCCAATGAACCAGGTACCCTTAGCTCAGTTTTCCAATGAGGATGCACAGAGAGGTTACAGCTAGTAAGTGGGAGAGTCAGAATATGTACCTAGGCGGGAATGCAAGCTGGTGCAGCCACTCTGGAAAACAGTATGGAGGTTCCTCAAAAAGTTGAAAATAGAGCTACCATACGATCCAGCAATTGCACTATT